TTCCTGGATAGGATCCGGCAAAGCAAGAATCCCACCGTCAGGGTTTCTTGCACCAAGAAGTTCAACTGTGACCGCAGACCTCTCCCTGCAGACACAGTCTAAGAAGCAGACGTGTCGCGTCCACAGCGATCTTGATCCATGGATCTTTTTCCTTTTGTCATGCTTCCTTCCTTTCCGGGTTGACTTGTCTGTCTTCTGCGTGACGACATTGATGTCGAGTTTAGTCTCCAGGCCATTTCCCACGGTGGTGTTCGTAACGCGCCCGGAGAGGGCACGGCACATTTTGCGTATCTTCGTGAGGTTGACGGTTTCGTTGTCGTTCTCCTTCAAGATGTACAAGATGATGATGATCAAGGCTTCTAGTCAGGCGGAGAATGTTCTCGAACATCGCAATAATACCAGGCCTAACCTGGAATGTTCTCGACATCATAACAATACAGTCCTAACCTGAAATGTTCTGGGATTCTCGCTCGGCGATAGAAGTTTCGGACCCAACACTTTTGATGCACTTACTTTTCTTACTTATCGCTCTAATAAAACGTCAATTTGCAAGAACTATGAATGCTACAAGATTTTACAATGAGCACAAAATTGTAAATAACTAATTAGTGCATTAACCAAAAAAAAAAATGAATTGATTCCATACACCAAATAAAAAGTTCCGGTAGTCTTTGTACCACGACACTCAAGAATTCACCACTTGTCCAAAACGGCTGAACTCGATTGTTTCATCAAAATATGAGTCTTACATAAGAACAAATTCACAGCGAGTTTCACCAAAATACATCGTACCATTCTTCCGATATTTCAAAAAAGATAAACTTTATGAAGTTCGTTGACCATCACTAGCAGAGGGGCCAGACGTTTTTTGTTAATAAAAGTTAGGTCAGATCGTCTTATTTTGATCCAAAGAATATTGTAATACCCTTTTGATCATGTGCTTACGGGACACCCTGTATAAAAAACAATTTCAGCTCCAAAAAATGAATAAAACAGAAACAATAAACGTATTCCTTGGCAATTATTTAAAAAACCCTCTCATACGGTTCCTGAATCATCATCGGAATGCGGCTAATAAATGGTGCATAGTGAAGTAGGTTCCTAAAAATATCAATAAAATCCAGGTTCATGTGAACCTGTAAATGCAAGCTGCAACCCATTAACGAAGAAAATAATTTTATTTGGGTTCATTCTTTCGCCGGGCCACATGTTCACATAGGCCACATGTCACGACACCCAATTCGCAATAGCAGTGAAAATATAAGTCGCTCTTTAAAATCACGTTGTGACCAATTATGGCTACTTTTATGTTAGTCACATATTGTGATAGTGATTTGTTAATCGCTGTGAATAAATCACGGGCAGTGATTTGTTGCTCAACTCTATTTACTACCGACTGCGCCAACTTTGGTCCTTTTCGTTGCGGGTTTGTCACATAAAATTGAAATTAAAAAAAAATTTCCAAAGGCATTAGAGATTTATCGGAAATTATAAATACAGTCATGCAATATTCAGGATAATTCTAATTTTAATACTGTATTAGCTTTATTTCTTTAACGAACTAAATACTAACGGTCTAACTTAGCTTTTTATAATTAAATTAACTTTGTGGTCTTTGTATTTACCTTTTTATTGGAATTTGGACGCTGTTTGAGGGTTTCCGCTTAATTGTTACAATGAAAAGCCGTGTAGAAATATAAACTAGGTTATGTATGCACTGAACTAATCTACAAGCGGACGTTAGAAATGTCAGCTGCCAGTTTAAGGTAGAAATAAAGCTGTACAGTATCGCTGCACAATTAGCACAGAACATTATCCGTATTAAGGAATCCGTTATTTTGAGGCTCAATTGCGACGGCGTATGCGTCAAAGTACTACTAACTTTGTTACTGCTTGCCCTTATTGACCGTCCAGTAACTTTCTATTAAGTCGCATATTTAAGACGGCCAGAAAATTGGCTTATGGAGTACTTCTGCAACAGTTTCTCTGGCGTAAGACATTGAAACCATATGCTGTTGAGATCCATATTTTTGCAACTGTGGCGCAAAAAGTTAGTTAACATGTCATAATTTACGGGATCAAGATGAAAATGTGCTTGAAAAATTACCATACCATTCTAACACATATTAATTAGAAGATAATGAGTTTAGGTTCAATCTCGAGATGATAGCGGCGATCGGGTCGGCTATAAATAATAAAGATATGTGATCTTTTCCCAAATTATAAAGAATATTTGGATTAACACGGGAGTCGAGCAATTGGAGTTCATCGACCTTTTCACGAATTTTCCTCTCATTCATTGCAATTTGCGAAATCGGATTTTTTCTATCGGGCATCCAATTCCATGTTAATGTGTGAACTTTGGCATGTAGTTTACGTTTCATTGAAGAACATGAAATTTCCAAATTGAAGATTTAAATTATTTTCATTTGAACATAACACATTTAACGTTTTCAGAATGTGGAACGGGAGAAGCTAAGGTAACCCAAGGCCATTATTTGCCAGCCCGCTACATTATACATACGGTGGGGCCCAAGTACAACATGAAATATCAGACAGCTTCCGAGAACACCCTGCATATGTGCTATAGGTGTGTAATTATTTGTTATTAAAATAGTTTTTTTTCTTTAACATACTTGTGATTTATTGGCAGCACAATGTCAATAATACATTACTGGTTTTTTAGGAATACACTGCAGAAAGCGAAAGAAATGGGTCTACACTCGATAGCGATACCGGTTATAAATTCTTTAAAACGAAATTATCCTCCAGATCAGGGAGCTCATGTAGCGTTACGTAAGTTATTGTTTATTATTTATTAACAATTTTAGGCGTATATAAGTAAGGAAAACTGTCAATCAAACAGATAAAAGTAAATAATGTCGCATTTTTCAGTCACACTGAAAAGCTCTAAGCAGTAGGTACTCATAAACAATCATTGAGGCTCGAATTCAAGAACGCCACTCATCTTAAATCCAGCCCTCACTCATCTGCCACTCACGTTAGGGTGAGATGAGTGGTCCTTAACTAAAGTCAACTTTCGGTATTCACGAACGACACTAATGAGGCACTAATTTGAGTAACAGCTGGCTGAAAGAATACACTTTTAGTAGGTTATGTTCTAATAAGTGAATAACTTCATTCCGGTTTTATATCCTCAGTTCAGCTTTTTTAAAATTGTTGTCACGTGCGGAAGTGTGTTGCGTTGACGGTGTTTCTATAAACAGCCCGTATTTAAATAATTTATTGAAAAGTTATATATACAAGATGAGTGAAAAGAGGAGTTTTATGTCGGGTGCCGAGAAGGAATTTTCAAAAGAATTGGCATGCGAAAAAAGCACCATACTTGAATGCAAAAAGTCAGATGCCGTTTCCATCTCCAAAAATAAACAAACTTGGGTGGAAGTGGCAAACGACTTCAATAGTCATGCAGAAAATTCAAAAGTAAGTAGTACTTGCCTACAATCAGCTAAAAAAAAAACAGTGATAATCTGGGTTTAGGCTGATAGTTTTATGTAGGTACAACCTTTTGTTTTAGAGATCTGTAGATCAGCTTCGTAAATGCTACGAAAACATGAAGTCGCTGAAAAGATATTACTTGCGAAAAGAAACTCCGAATGGCGACTGGAGGTGGAACCAGCAACTATTGACCCAATTGATAATGTCTTTGATTTAACTTTGGATATTGAATTAAAAGATCATCGATAGCGATGCAGTGGTGCAAATGAATGCGGAATCCAAAGCTGGTGAATTTATGTCAATATTTACCAATCACGAGATTTTAAGTCAAATTATTTATATTCTTGAAGAAACTGTTTCGACTCGAAAATCAAGAACTGAGGATCTAGTTACAGTTGTTACCTTAGAAGAACTGGAAGGTAGTAGATATTATTAGAAGTATTCTTAAATGCAGTTATATTAATAATTTTCCTTTGATAGCTCCAACTATTGAGCATAGGAGGACAAATTTTCGAAATACGATAACAGCAGTGAGGATGCCCAGAGGTTTGGCCAGTGAGAAGGAGATGGATGTAAGAGTGCTGCGGGTGCAACGGTTGATGGAGCAAGATGAAGAGAGATCACTCGGCGAAAATGCAAGAGCAAAATATTCGTCTAGCCATTGCCAGAGAAATTTTAAAGCAGGAGGAAATAAAGACAAAAAAATTGGTAGATAATAAATCATAAATATAATAAACAAATTTAGAATAATTTGGTGTTTTACTGTAATACAAAATTTAGTAATACTAATCGGTTGGCCTGGTGAAATGTCGCAGTATGAAAGCGGCTCTGATTACTCTACCTCTCATGCCTGGCGCTTCAGGGTAAGGAAATCTTTCAGTTTTTTCCATACTTATATTTTCATCGATCTTCTGGTTGGTGTCAATGGCAATATTATGAAGCACCGCTGTAGCAGCAATAATTCTTGTTGTGTGTCGTAATGACGTTTGCAAACATTTTGCTAAACATCTGAAACGAGATTTCCATACACCGAAAACAACATTCCTGGTTAAAATGTATGCGTTGTTATATCGCTGCTCTGCTCCTGTTACTGGGTTGTTTATTGGAGTATACATGTACCTATTTTGGGCATAAGCACTATCTCCCAATAAAAGCCCTGATAATCTGCCATTTTCTAACCGCATACACAAAGAACTGCTGTTAAACATTCTGCTATCGTGAGCAGAGCCAGGCCAACGAATAACAACATCCGTAAACTTTAGGTTTGGTCCAGATACAGCTTGCACGTTCAAAGCCATCCATCCTTTCCGATTCCTGTACAGTTCAGCATTTGATCCACCTGGACTTTTTATCTCAATGTGTGTACCATCTATACACCCAATCACTTCAGGAAAACTTGCAACTTCATAAAATTGGCTCTTTAAGGTGTTCAAGCCAATTGCATCATCAGGAAATGTTACAAATTTTGGAAAATGCTGAGCCAACTTCTCACTCACTTCAGAGCAAACTCTGCAAACAGATGCCTGACTGATGTCTGCAATATCGCCACATACCCTAGAAATTATTAAAAGCCATATAATTAACCAAAATAAAAGTTGAAGTTATTTAATTTAGTTTTATGATTTATTTACAAATTAAATAACTTAATAAAAATAATTAAGTTATTTTTGTCTTCAATTCAAAGTTAGGGACATTTTAGTCACCCATTTAAGAAAATAGTTTCTGAATATGGTTAGGATGAGATGAGTCTGATTTTAGTGTGTGTGATGCTAGAGTGTCTTGGTTTGGATTGAAACAAGCACTAACAATAGGCACTGCAAACTATTTGCATATTTAGTGCAGGTTTTTCTTGATTTTTTCTTTTCTTCTTTCTTCTCTTGAACTTTTAGCTTGCACTAATACAAACATTAATTTTACTAATCAATGAAGATTGATATTGTGACGTGAGGTTACGTAGTGAATATGTGCGGTTCTGCAATAAAACTCATTTTATGGACGCGTTAAATAGATTAAACTACAGTATGTTTTTTTAATATTACGCGTATCATTTTGATAACTATCTTCAAATTCAGTTTTTTTAGAATCTTATTTAAAAAATAATCCAATGAGTAATCCAATGAATAATCCATAGAGAATTGTGTATGTCTGAACGTCGATTTTTTATGACTCAACTAGCTGGCCCGGCAAACCTTGTTCTGCCATATAAATTATTTCTAGTGAATATTTTGGTTATTAAATGAAAAATAACGAATGTATTGTAAGTGTGTGGGGATGGGAAATGGAGTGGAAATAAAAAACATAGCAGAATGATGTAGTCCTGACCACGTCGAATCAACATACGATACGCATAAAAATCCATCGACCCCAGACACCCTAACCACCTAGCGGTATGAAATATACTTTACCACCTATTCTCATACTTATCAAATATACATAAAAAATTCATAAAAATCGGTCGAGCCGTTTCGGAGGAGTTCGATCACAAACACCGTGACACGAGGTTTATGTATATATATATATATATATACTAGCTGACCCGGCAAACGATGTATTGCCATATAAATTATTCCTAGGTTTTTTTTTCATCTCGACTGGGCGGTTCGCCCACTTGAAATTTTTTTCAAACTTTATTTAAAATTTATTGAATTACTAATATAGCTATTAAAAGATAGGGGTTTATGGCAGCACCCATATCACTTAGGGGTATAAAAAATAGATAACAACCTATTCTCAGACCTACTGAATATACATACAAAATTTCATCAAAATTGGTCAAGCCGTTTCGGAGGAGTATGGTAACTAAAACTGTGACACGAGAATTTTATATATATAGATAGATAATAATTCCTGTTGTGGCTTCTTTTATAGTTAATTAATGATGATGCTAGTAGAAACGATACTGCGACTTGGAAGTTAACATCACGTGTTTAAATGCGACCGTTTACCCAAGTGTTTAATTCACAAACGTAATTTAATCCTTAGAATATGATCTCGAAAAGTAGGGAACTTTTGACTTTAACGAATTAAAAAATAATGAACCGGAATGTTGGCTGGTTTTCTGTCTTATATAGCAAACGCCTAATACGTCCTAAGACAACAAGAAGAATTTGACGTAACTTGGAAGATAGAAACCGACATTTGAGTTTTACAGGGTGACAATAAACATGGCCCCTAGAAAAACTTGATAAAATGTTTAAGTTTCAATAAAAACAAAATTTATCAACAAACAATAAACAACTATTTTGACTGCAATATGCTCAGCCGGTTTCGAAGTGGCCTCCTTGCGCATCTCGGCAGATCACCAAACTCTGCCGAAAATTTTCTGCTGCGCCACACACCTCGTCCGGCGACAATTGGTCCCATTTCCGACGCAGCGACTGCTTCAGCAACTTCAAATTTTTGGGGCGTGTAGCACAGGACCTGGTCTCCAAAATAGACCACACAGTGTAGTCCATCGGATTGAGATCTGGCAAGTAGGGCGGCCATGCCGCCGACGAGATGAAATCCAGAAAATGGGTCTGGCACGACTCCTGAGTCACTTTCGACAGTAGAAGAGGTCCCGGAAGACGGCGAATATAATGGAAACCATGTCGTACATTTTGCATCTCGCATAAGCGACAATTTTTTGTTTATGGATGATAATGCCAGTCCGCACCGAGCTCCGATCGTGCGCGAATATCTTAATGAGGTTGGCATTCAACGTTTAGTGTAGCCATGTTTGGGATCAGCTCAAAAGACGGATTCGACGACGAAATCCTACTTCTGAGAACTTTACTAAACTGAAAAACGCGGTTCTCCAAGAATGGCACAACATACTCCACGAATTCATTACAAACTTTTTTATGGCTTACCAAGACGTTTGGGGGACATTATTCCAGCTAGAGGCGGCAATACACGTTATTGAATCGGTCGGAAAATTTACCCGAATTTCAAAATGTATTTTTCAAAAATTTTTACCAAAAATCTGATAAAACTATTGTTTCATGTTTTGTATTAATTTTTTATCCGAAAACATTCTCATATTAATTTAAAAAACAATAATTTTATATATTTTTTCTTTGAAATTTATAGAAGTTGCACTAATTTCGTCCATCAGTGTAGTAATTTTTTTATATATTCGCAGAAAAATTTTGGCACTCATAATGTGCGACCAGAGTTATAATGGACGGGCTCAACTTCAAACTCAACCCAAACTAACAACTCGTCGCGAATTAATCGATAAATATTTAAATCAGTTAGACGGCCAGCATAAATAAATAAAATCAAAACAATCAATTTACTGAACTTCAAACTCGTTTAATACACAAATAAAGTAAATATTAGTTAAATATTTTGTATGTTTTATTATTTAGTTATACTTGTTTTTCCTACGTTATAATTTGAATGTTTTATTTTTCAATTGCAGGTACTGTTCGTCGCTTCCTTGAACGACATGGAAACTCGCTTGACACTGTGATATTTGTTGTTGACAAAGTAGATTTAGGTATTTACGAAGTTCTGTTACCTTTGTACTTTCCCCGATCTAAGCAAGAAGAAGATGCAGCTAGGTGAGTTCCATTGTTCATCTGTTCTATAGGAGCTGTGTGAAATGCAGAAAGATTCGTGCACTCAACTGTAAGAATATTGCAAAAAAATGACGTTTTACCATTTGCAAGACTTTGCCAGTTGGTTGAACGTTAGTGATTTATCGTGAGTGTCGAAGGTTGCATCCCTATAGATTATTGCAAAAAATTGTTTCAAATATTCAATTTTGCTTAGGAAATTTCTTGTAATTAAACTGGAAACTTGCGGATCCAAACTAGTAATACACTGATGGACAAAATTAGCGCACCATCTATACATTTGCGAATAAAACATTTTTCTCTAAGTAGGCTGGTAATAACGTAACTATAGTAACATTGTACACTGCCAATTGTTTTTGATCCTTTTCTATTCATTTCAATACAAGTTTCTATTTGTCTCATGATTGTTTTCAGCAAGTGTGGTACTGTTTTAGATTCAATTTTCTTGCGTTTTTCTTATTTCGTGTGTGTAACTAAAGCGTATTCGCATAGAAAAGTCCCCAGGAAGAAATTTAAGTGAGTTTGATGCGGTCAAAATAGTTACCTTGTTGGAAGAAGGGTATTCTCAACGTGAGGTCGCCCGAAGGTTGGGTGATCATCACACCACCATTGGTCGATGTCTTCAGCGTTTTAGCAAATACTATAGACTATAATACGTTCAACCAAATACTATAGACTATACGTCCAACTCAATGTTAATTTTGTGGAAACTTTTGGGCCAGTGCCATCTACCGGCTTCAGTTGTTTTTTGGATTTGGTTTTCTTTTATATATATTGTATTTGTTACGCCTAATTTATGTAAATGGTGATTTCATGTAAAGAAAAGACATTGTGCAAAAACTGTATGGCGATTTCTCATAATTAGTTAGCTATAACATGTAATCGGTAAATACTTACGTGTTCTAGTTAATAAAATAGGCGAAATTCTCCCTGTCAGGTAAAATCGACAAGCTCGTTGTTTATCTCCTAAGTTCGAAAAAATTGGGAATATTACATGAAATCGGGAATTACTCAAATTCGGAGCAACATAATATTTATACAGGGTGGCCATTTTCTGAATATTTGTATGGGTAACTTCTAAATTTTTAAAGATAGACAATCCGTTAAATGGACAAATTGGTCAGAATTCGATTGCCTATTCATTACCGTTTTCAAAATTTAGGTACCCGACTTGGTTCCTGAAATATCCTGAGAAGACAAGAAATCAGCACTTTTTTAATTATCACATATTTCGTAAACTGATTAACTTAGAAAAAAGTTAAAATTGCCTTTTATAGAACTTTTTGCGTTGAATTCAATAAACTAACACTCGTTGTTATAGTCAACTTGATTTACGAGATAAAAAATAAACTTATGTTTTTTTAAATGATAATCATAGTTGGCTGTGGACGTTTTAAAATCGTTATTTTTTTCTGAATTTAACGAAATAACTGTTTGTATGTTTATCTCTTCTTTTAACCATAAAATTTGAAAAGAAAAACATTAACAAGCATCTAGCAGTATTCTCACGAAATGGTTATTTTACTTTTTGTAGTTGTTTGCGTTAATAAATGTCATTAGTTAAAAGTATTATTGTTGCTAAGTAAATACGATACATTTTGTTAGCAAAGAAGACGGGAAAATGTATTCTCACGAAGAAAATAATGACATGCTATTCTGTTACTATACCTGTAATAGAATTACATAGTAATATGGCTATCAATCTATGTTTGGACCAATACATGGAGAGGAGACAATCAGACAAACAACTTTTTTCACGACTGGAAGCCAACTTGGAAAAATACGGATCATTTAAAAAGCGAGCAAAAGGGAAGATTAAATTTAAAGAACAAGATGGATAAAGACTTTTAGCTTACACCCATTTTAATCCAAACTCATCAATCAGATAAACTGCCAGTGAGTGAATGTAATGTTTCAAAAGAAGAAGCCCGTTTGATTCTAAAACAAAACAAACTCAAGCCTTTCAAGTACCTTGTTGCAAATACTATGCATCTTGAGATTATGGACGAATACTTCAGTTTTTGTAGATGGTTTCGTAGGGTTTGCTAGGGCTATTAGATCTAAAGTTTCCCCTCGCCATTCTATTTACTGACAAATCCCGGTTTACTAACAGTGGAATATTTAACAGACACAATCATGTTTGCGGGGCTAATGAAAATAATCATCTAATTGAAAATAGGTGAGATCAACGTGTTTTTTTTTGTGAATGTCTGGTGTGGCATTTTTAATGATAAAATTATTGGTCCATTCTTTTATAATCACAATTTAAATAGCGAAAGATATTTACACTTTTTACCAAATGAACATGGCCAAGACAACATGACCAAAGACATGTTGAATAGTTTTCCGTTAGCATCGTATGATCGTTGCATGATAGTGCACCTAAAACCCACCACTCACGAGTCATAAGTCAATTTGAACATTTAATTTAAACGATTCATTATTGGTTTGTGCTTTGTGTGATAATATAGTTCTTGTTTCCATAGCCTACTACAATTTTTTATCTTCTTTTGAAGTTTTACGGCAACAAAAGGAGAAAAACATACAAACAATTATATCGTTAAATTCGGCAAAAAATAAGGATTTTTAAAGTCCCACAGCCAACTATGATTACCATTTAAAAAAACATAACTTTATTTTTTATCTCGTAAATCAAGTTGATTATGACAACGAGTGCTAGTTTATTGGATTCAACGCAAAAAGTTGTACTTAGTGCAGTTTTAACTTTTTTTCTAAGTTAAGCAGTTTACGTAATATGTGATAATTAAAAAAATGTTGATTTACCCATACAAAGATTCAGAAAATGGCCACCCTGTATACATACTGGCGTGTATAACAGTTTAAACAAAAACGAAGACCATTTTTAGTTGTGTAAAATTTTATTCAATTTAATATTCTTACGTTTAATGTCTGTTTTTCTATATGATCATTTTGTTTGTTTCCATATGCTTTTATCAAGACATTAAAATATTTATTTAAAATTAAACTTTTGCAACTATCACAAACGTGATTTTTTAGCAGCTCTTCAATAGGACATTTGCACTTTAAAATTAATTTATGTTTCACTCCTATACAACTTTCTGCAAGATATACATCTATATAATTTTTAAAGCAATTATTTATTATTTGGGAAACCATTTTTGCTAGAGAATTAGGAAAAACTTGTCTAGACAATTCCGTGTATTTCTTGAATTCAATTTCAATGTTTCCAAATGAAGAGTCATTTCTAGGTCGGGCGCAGCTCATGGGTAATCAATGCCTATTTAAAAGACAGGGAAAACTACGGAAATAATCGGCAAGGACGCACTTTAACTGCAACAACACTAAAGCTTGGTTCTCATGGATCCGAAATGCTTTGCGGAAGCGGAGTGCGGAAAGTGCGCGCGCAGCCTACTACTAGCATTACTACGCGCGGAAAAATTAGCGAGACACAATACAACTCTTTTTTCTACATTTTTTCTTGCCACTATTTTGAAGCGCATGAAATGAACGTTCGAAACCAAAAGTTAAATCTGCTTTTGTCTTTGTGCGTTCTAAAAAGAAGGAAACAGAGACATCAAAATGAAAGACGGTGGAATAGACACCGCTGAACATAACCTTTCACTGAGCATCTTTGGAGATAACCTAGATTTTCACCTTCTTCCGCACGCCATGCGGAAAATATTAAAATTTCTGCGGATGGGCGGAGCTAACGCATCCGGCAAACTGATTGGTCGGAAGGTTTTCCGAATTCCGCATTCCGGACTCAAGAGAACTCAGCTTAAGGGAACGTCGTGTAATTCTTCGACTTGCATCCAATTCTTCGTCAACAGCTAGACAAATAAGGGATCTAAGTGGAAGTAATGCATCCGTACGCACTCTCCAAAGGGTAATAAAGAAAACGTATCGGAAAACTCGGCAACGTCACCAAAATATGAGTTCTGAATGAGAACAAATTCAGAGCAAGTTTTAGTAAAATCTATCAAATCATTCTCGCGATATTTAAGAAAATTTTTTTTTTATTGAATAACTTTGACCATCAATAGCAGAGTAACCGGATATTTTTTCTTAACAAAACTTTGGATCGCCTTATTTTGATCATGTGCTTACGAGACACCCTGAAATGTAATCACAGATAACAAAAACACATTTTTACTATCTGGTAGGATAATTGTTGGATATTGAGTTCCTTTTTTATAGGTACCAATTACCCAGCGACGTTGGTGGTCCGGATGGGGAACCCATTATGGCAGATCGCCAAATTAGAATAATTGACAATCCCCAGCATGCATTGCACGGTAAGTGTCTTGAACCCACATTTTATTTTCAGTTAGAGCATCTTACTTTCATTAGAAGATTTAAGAGAAATACGAGGAATTCAAGAATGGGTCGTAGCTAATTCTAAAACGTAGATTGCTAATAGTAGAGAGCTAATAATAAATATTACGTTGGGATGTCGTCGATTAAATCTAGACAGAATTATACATAGAGAAGTTTGGTATCGGAATCACAAATGACCGAGGAACATTGCTGGCTAACTTCCTAGAAAGAGGAAAGCTCTACCTCATGATCACCTTCTTTCAGAAAAACGAACAACGCAAATGGACATGGAAAAGCCCAAATGGAAACACAAAAAACGAGATCGACTCCACTATCTGTAAGCAAAAACATATAATTCAGGACGTAGATGTGATAAACCAACTAATGATTAGATACAAAGTTTTCATAGATGTTAAGCTTGAAAGAGCCCGAAGAATGAGACGAATAGCAACTAAAATAAATGGGGAACAGCTTAAGGACGAAGATGAAAGCTACAAAAACAACTTAGCAACAACTTTTCTAAAAACCCAGGACAGCCAAGTGAATCCATGAATGAAGCTAATAAAAGAATAACAAATATCATAAAAGAGACGGCTGAACAGACGTCCGAACCCCTTCGAAAATCTGGGGACAAGCTGTCAAGTTTTTTATTTTTTATTTGTTGGTGCAGCTAATATTAATTAACCAGCATCCTAAATATAACCTAAATTACTAAAGTTAGTTACTGTGATATTCCCAGCGGTCCATCACAGGTTTTTACATTTTTTCGCACGCTTCCACAGTTCATTTCACATTAATGTTACAAGCTCAAACGGTGTCGCGCTCACAAAAGGCTACCCGCTATTTGCGCTACGACGGTTCTATTTCCAAAGAAACTGGTTCCGGGGTTTTCCAATGCTGATTCCAATTTATTTTAGACAGATTTGGTTCGTTACAACTTACAACTTGTCTTTTTGTTAAATCAAACTGAAACTTCTCTAAACTGTCAAGAGTCACCAAAACTCAGACTTTTTCTACCTGCCCTCTTAACAATAGTTTCCATAGTTTCCGACATACTCCCACCTGAGGAACTAAGTGTACGATAATGTTCCTCAACAACAAAAGGAAACATCAAAACTTTACAACATAATAATAAGAACAAAACTAAACATTTATGTTCAAGAAATAACGACAGGGATATTTTCCTACAAATATCTGATAGGCATTTTAGATGTGCGACCACTACGTGTAACCTCTACTTTTTGCCCTGACAACTTATTATTAATTACACATGGAGACAAACCGCTACAGCTAGTATTCGCTTTCAGAGAAGCACCAGATTCTCTGATAT